GGGTCTCTTTTGGGAAGCAGTCAGAATTCTGACTCAGCAGTTCATCACATGGTAAGTGTGGAAGTCATTATGTCTGTATTTCCATTCCACTGTGAAACATTAACTTTACATGTGGGATAATTGGCTGGATTACTAGATAGTAGAGCTAACAGGAAAACAAATGTATTGAGAAAGATGTCAGAAATTAAGGAGATTACAGTTATTATTATAGTAGCCAGGAATATTCCTGCTTTTTGGATTTGAAACAAGGTGCTAACATACATTGACAAAAGACATGACTATTTCTTGCTGCATGACATTTAATTAGACTAAATATTTTGTGCTTTAGGCCAGTTAGGATTACATATGGAAGGTTTGATACATGGCACTAAAACTATTTGGATATGTTTTACTACTTTATTCAAATTTAAAAGTTTACATAAATGTCCTTAGTTTTCAGTAGTATTGCTTTCAACTTGTATGATTTTGGTCAAACATTTCCGGGTTCTTTCAGAGCATTTGTACAAAAAGTCCTCACAGCAGTTTGCTGTAAATTTGCCATATTCCTCATCACAGAACTTCTTGTGAGGAAGAATTTCCTAAACTCAGTCATGTTGAGTTTAAGGCTTATGATGCCTACTGTAAAACATTGACAGTAGAAATCACACTGTCAGTTTCTTTCCTTGTTCTACCAACATTGTTGTGAAGTGCACCGGTCCCTCCTGCAGCAAAACATCACCACAACACAATGCTGTCACATTTTACCTCTCAGACAGGATGGTGTTCACACACTTTTAGCTTTCCCTTTTATTTCGTAACTTTTTCCTAAAAATGTAAGGATGACATGGGTTTTATGACTTTAACTTTAGTTTCATCAGAACAGGGAACTTTGTAGTAATACATTTTCATTCTTTGTAGTAATAAATGTGCTAAGTGATTTTACACCCAACAGGAAGCTTAATGTCAACATTTTTTCTTACTGTTCTTGACTGGTTTTAAGGAATAATTCTTTACTCCAAATATTTCATGAGCCCCTCCCATGTCCTTTCCATTTCCATTCCCAATTATGATTCTAAAAAAAATCATGCTGTACATTCCCATAAGTTCCAACCTCTTGCACCAGTGAACAAATGAATTTGTCACTATTTATAGAATCCCACTTGCAGCAGAATTCTCTTCCCTGTAGTCCATCTGTTTACTCAGTGTTTCTGCACATCATTATGCCAAAACATGGATAAATATGCTGACAAGAGCAGAGGAAATTCAGCTTAAAAATGCTAATAATGCAGTTGTGACAAGCTGCAGAAAGATGGGTGGATGGATGGATGGGCAGACATGCAAGTTTAATGAAAGGTGTGTTTAATACCTGCTTAAAGATTGTCTGATTTTCATAGCTTTAATCAATCATATTTTTGAATATGACCACATATGTATGTGTACATTTTTTTTTACTTGTTTTCATTTGGAGAAACAGTTCAGCTGCAGGTGTATGACATTCCTTCCTGCTTGGTTCATGGTTTAAAAGACAGGGAAACTGTAATGGCGTGACTTACGATGACCCAATTTAGCTGTAACGAGGTAACATCTGTGAGCCCGCCAGAGGGTTTCTGTTTTTAGGTCTGACCTCTGAAACCCTGGGATATGATGCATCAGTTCACCATGGTGCATGTTTCTTACTTTTGTCATAACAGATGTCTGGAGCCTCGAGCAAAGAATGAGCCAGAATAGAGCCCTACTGGCAGAATCACCTTCAATTTACAGACTTCAGGAAACACGAGGGCAACTGTAAGCTGCAGTTTTATTGTTGTCTGTTCGCCATGGAGTACCTGGGAGGAGAACAATCTACAAAGGCAAGTGTGAGTTGGACAATGGGCTTAACGATTGATATTTTGTTTTGTTTGCAGTAGAAGCTGCATTACATTGCAGTGCTTAGCATGACAGGTCAACAGTTCAAATCTCAGTTGGGTTCTCTCTCATTATTGCTAAAATAACTGTTTTGTGAGAAACAATTTTCAGTCCCTTTTTGTCCATGACACTGAAAAATTGCATATTATCTCACCTGTTTTAGCCATAAAATTCATTAAATTCAGAAGTCTTTGGAGAGCCAAACTAATCTGCTATTTTTCCCCACATATACAAGTCTAGAAAGTATGAGACAATGCAAAACAAATTTGGTCTCGAAACAGCTGAATCTGCAAAGAAAGTATGAACGCTTCTGTGGAGCTGCCCCTCTGTCCTCAATATAGTTAATGAAATTATATCTGACAAGAAAAGTCCCACAGGTATTCACAATGCATACATTTCTGGGTATGTATGATTGTCTAGAAGTTTCTCTGGGAGTGAGCTCAGGTGTTGAATCTCAGGAGACACTCGTGAGCCTTTGAAAACGTCCTGCCTCGTTCTTCTTGCATCGCTTATGGGAATATTTTGCACTGTATATGTGTGGAGAACACATAAATCAATTGTCAAAGAAAGCCAGAGATTATGCATGTCACTGAGTTGCATAGTTATGTCTTTGATTGTTGCCAATTCAAATGGTTTGATGCCATTACTGTGGTATATTAGCACTTGAAGTCTCTGGGTTTAAAGAAAGTAATAGAATATTCTTAGTGGACTGAATGTTTCAGTGGTTGACAGAGATTTCTAAAGTATCTCAATCTTTGGAGGAAAATTGATTTAATTTTCTAGTGTTTTACCTCCAATACTGTGGATGATAAGTTTTGTGATGAAGTTGGTTTCTGAGCATAACGTCAATCGATCCTATAGAAGTGTTATATTCCATCATTACAGGGATATATTTTAGATATACAAATATCCATATTTCAATTAGGCTAAAAGTAGTTCAGTTTAGTTCACTGATACAATTGCCCAGGAGTTCTGATGCATTGCCTAGCAACTAGATCCATCTCATGGCAAAGTAGAAATCAATATGATATGAGGATATAAAACGTCAAAGGAGGAGGAAGCATTATCACATAACATTCCAGTTTTTGCCAAGACAAATACTATCACTGTGTTGTTGCTACATACTGTATAAACTGTCAGCTGTTGTTTCTTTGGCCTTTCTACTTCTGTGTTTTTAGTTAGTGTGTATTACTCATACTTTCTTACAGCTTTGTCTGTTTTTAGAGTGGTATTTTGCAGGTTTCCTGAAGATTGTATTTATTACACATCATCTCCACACAAATAGATATTCTGCCAGTGAGTTGATTCAAAACAGGCATTTATGAGATGCTGTGGTGGTGCAGAGGTAAAACTCAACCCGTGTATGGAGGCCTTAGTCCTCAGCGTGACTGTCACATGTTCGAGTCCTGATGACCTTTGCCACATGTCTTCCCCCTCTCTCATTACCCATTTTCCTGTCTGACCACTCAAATGCTGAAAGAGTCAGTAAAGCCTAAAAAAAGCAGACATTTATGGCAATGACTGCACTGTTTTTATGTAATCTTTGTTGTGTGACTATTAACCATTGTTTTTCGGTTTAGTTTCACTGGCCTAAGCAATATCTGATTACTGCCAGACTTGTATACTCATGAAAGGTCCCAAAGAGAAGCTACAGAGCTAAAAGGAAAATAAATAAATAAATAAAATAACCATCAGGCTCCAATCAAAGAAAAATGAATAGCTGTTGAGAAACAAAGCAGTTGACATTTCTTAGTCTGGAAGAGCTTTCAAATCCATCTCTAGGGCTTTTATACTCCAGTAAACCACAATTAGAACCATTTTTCACAACTGGAGAAAAAAATAGACTCCAACCTATTAACTGTACTCCAAGAGCACATCGATGATTCACCCAGAACATCATTTAAAGCCCCTCCGACCACATTTTAGTTGCCTCACATGCTTCTGGAAAGGTCAAATGCCAAGAAAGAGATGAGCTATGAAATACAGAGGTGGCACCATCAGTTTGTCACGATGCTTTACTGCAGGAGGGACTGGTGCAACTTACAAACTACCCATCACCACAAGGAAAGACATCAGACAAGAGATTAAAGCTTTGGGACTAAAGAGTTTTCCAAAAAGATAATCATGTCCAGTGCTGAGTGCAAATAGTGTATATTACATGGAGATACTTTTCAATAGGCAACATTTGTACATTTTCAGAAAAAAATGAATTTAAGGATTTAGAATACCTCTAATCAGTTCTTACATTGATAGAAATACTTGTTTGAAACTAGTAACTCATGCACAATTTAACTAGATCAGAGATCTGCAACCTCAACTGTGACTAATTGTATCAATAGGTTGCATGAATATGTGTTTTTTTTTTTTACGTGTCTCCCTACAAAAAAATAAATACCACCACCTTGAAGAAAATATTTCAGTCTAAAAAACACTTTGGTCTTTAACTTGAAAAATCTAAAACAAATGTCCTACATAGCAGCTGTCATGATGTGTGATTGGATGAGGTGAGGCAGATGCAGCAGACCCAGGCTTTAGGGAATGAAATGATGATTTTAATGATAATACAGTACAGAGAGAGCAGAAGGCTAAGGCTCGTCGACTGGAATCAAGACAGAGAGCCAGACTAGACGACTAGACACCATAAGACCAGACAAGGACCCAACAAAGAACAAGGAACAAAGCTGGGTTTATTAAATACACAGGGAGACAATCAGGAGAAACAAGGGACAGCTGGGGACAGTCAAGGGATATACATGACAACACAGAGACTCAATTAACTGAAACCTAAATTAACACATAGAAAAAACTAAAACCTTACAGTAGCTTCTCTTTTCAAAGCATTATGTATCTTTTGTGGCTCTGAGCAAGTTTTTCTTTTAGCTGGACTGAAGTCAAAAGTGTCATTGGGAAGTAAAGGTTGCTAATGCAGATCTAGTTAATGAGTTTTAGGTTTTTCAGTGAAATACAATGAAAGTTCTTCACCATATTGTTTCCATTCTTCAAAACTACCACAGAAAGGACTGAAAAAGCCAACAAAATATTTTTACAAGATGTTTGTGTGATCTTAGTTTGCATTTGCAAAACCTGTCTTGGAACACAATCTTTTCTTTTCTTTTTTTTTTTTTTCTGTACTGATTTTGTTCCAGGTCAAGCGGGTAGCTTAATTGGCTGACTTTGTTTGCTTTGCTGCTGACAGACTGCTGTGTTTCCTTCACACACGAAAGAAGAAAGAACTTGAACTTGACTGCTCAGCCTCTTCTTGCTGCTTCGGTCTGACTGATAGAGAGCAGCAAAGCGTTTTGTACCTGTGGAGGTCTGACGTCGGCTTGCTTCAGTGTGGTTAAATCCACAGGGTTAATAAGCATCACAGGGGCGCTCCTGGAGGAGAAATGGGAATCAATAACCTGACAGAAGGCATTCAGCACAAAACAAGGTGTATACTGGCAATGGTGCAGCTGAGCTTATTGAAGCTGAAGTGTTTTATTTCAAGTCCTGACATGCTGCTCTATAGCTTACCTCCAATTAAGGCCACCGGCCCGCTTCACCTCTGACCTGTGCTAGATGAATATAGCAGAATGTGTCTGCACACATCAGATGATGCTACGACCAGCATTAGGATTGAGGAGTTAGGTTTCCACACCCCACATATCAGTGGTGATGTGTTTTTCATCCGCCAGCCTTGGAGGTTCTTGATGCCATTCGCATTGGTGAATCTCAGATAATCCCTATGGTTTTACAAGTATTTCATAAATGTATCTATTTTTCATTTTTTTTTTTAATTCCAGAATTAGTCACTGACTCATCCACCGACCTCTCTTTTGGAACACTTTACTGGGTGTGGACACTTTTTTTGCTTTCATCACTGCACTAATTCCTTATTGCGGGGAATCAACAAGTCAAAAACTTTCATCAGAGATGCAAGACTGTATATTTGCCAGCTCTGTACAGGCTAATCAAGTCCTTCCACACCAAACACCATCATGAATTGATGGACCATGTTTTGTGTATTTTGTGCTGGCCTGATTCAGACCACACTTAAAATATTCCCACTAATGTGAGAAAATAACTCTTAAAATATAATACCAAAGCAGTAAGAATTAATGTCAATGGAACTAAAGAGCTGACACCAGCGACTAAAATGTCAGTAGTCATAGTAGTTTAGTAGATGTTACTTGACACAATGTAATCAGGTAAGTCTCCTTCTCTCACTAAAAGGCAAAACCAAATTTCTTTACATTTAGACAGAGAGGTGTCATTTGTCAGTCTGTGGAAGATCTCCACTGCTCTAAAATGCAGTGATAGCATGTTTATATCCCTGCATCAAAAACTTTGCGTTGATCTGGATGATTTAAGGCTCGGATGCAGCCCTGCCCCAATGGAACCCCCTATGTGTTTCCATTAATCATAAAATTGCGCACACTAGAATTACGACAATACATTTGCTTTATAGAAACAGGGCAATTCAGAAAAAACGCAAGTTTTTTTCATAAAAAGTTTTTGCACTATGATGAGGTGGTTTCTCTGTTGCATCAAAATTAGTGTAAACTGCAAGACGACAATGGAGACATTTTGCTACTATTGGCAGAAATGATGAACAAGACAACAGGAAGTGGTAGGAGGAAAATGGTGCAGCATGTTTTTTAATGACTTATCACATAAACAAGCTTATTCATGTGACTTTAATTGTGTTTTTTCAACATTAGTGGAATACTGATGAAGTTTTGAGCACACTTGTTATGGAAACACATAATGCTCTGCACGCAATTTATTGAGCCTATCAGAAAACAATGAAGTTTTGAGGTACATGAACTTGAACTCTGCTCAACATGCATCGCAGCATCTACTTGCCTGCTGTTATTTTACATGGCTTACCTCTTAGTGTAGAGTTTCTGTTGTTCTTATGAGGGTACTAATCTCAATTTCAATTTATTTTGTACTCCTGCACCTATTTCCATTGGCCTCTACTGAAAAAAAAAATAAATAAATATGCAGAGATATTTGTAAAAATGACTGCCTCCAAGTCATGGCTGAGAAGAAATAACTGGCACAATCTTGTTAGATCCTGCCACTGGGGAATCTTCAGATGTCACTTTAGAGACTCTACAGTGTCCCTTTTAACGCTTTTCCACCAAAGCAGACCAGAAAACTGACCAGAACCAGTTCTAGAACGGGAGTTTTTTCTGTGGAAACAAGCTGAGTGTGGGTTTTCTTCTACAGCCGAATACCTCCATGAAGAGAAGACTGATGAAGTAATGAACAGAGACAATAAATCAATATTAGACTAGTACTTTCATAGTTAACTTGGTTTCTAGAAAAAGTTACCATGGTGATAGAGCCTGATAAGAGCTGAAACAACTTTCTTAAAATTGAAAGGATGATGGACTGGCGACCTTGCAGAGGTGCCTACTCTGCCATGACCTAGCAAGAACAAGCAGGTATAGACAATGCAGGTGACAGTTTACATTATTTTTCTTATATAACTGCACAATGATTTGTTGGTTGTCAAGGTGACATGTAAACATGACATAGAAAATGACATAGATATGAGATTTAAAAAATAATGAAAACAGACAGAAACATAGTTGGCATAAATGAAACACATCCATGTTAATAAGAGCATGCTTCATTTCTCTTATGGTAAGTCATAATGAAAGGTGTATAATCAAAGCAAAATGGTTGCTGTAAATATTTATTTCTAGCAAACAGTAGAGGGAAACTCTTATTTTTATTATTATTATTATTATTATTAAATACAGACATCTACAGGTTACAGTCATCATCCCAGCCATCTGTTATTAATGCACCTTTTTCTCATCTTTTTTAAATGCATTGAAAGTCTCAGGCTGCAGGATGAAATGGAAAACTTTTGTTTGCGTTGCTGTAATTACATTATAGGAGGGAGATGTTTGAATATGAACTTCTAGTCACATGTGTGCGCACACGCACAAATGATTCCTTTCCTATAAAAAAAATATTGGTATTAAGATTTGCTTTAGTAAATGAAGGCTCTAAGGTGACAAAAATGAAAGACTTTGTCAGCGTTGTCAGCAATAAAATTGAGATGGACAGGAGAGAGAAACATAAGGTCTCTTTGATAGTTGAAAGACTGATGACTAAACTCAGACTCTGTCCACCGTAACAAGGATATTTTGCAAGGCAAGCTTTTTCTGTATTTTCTTATCTAAATGCAAATACTTTTAAAACTTTGCAATATGGCATCACTAACTGCTTCTATAACATTCAGCCCTGAGACACATGGTTTCCTTTTTTAGAGTGGTATGATGTGAAGGAGTTAAAGTTAATGGCAAATGAGCTGATTTTTTATAGAACCTTTCCAGTCATTTCAGCCACTCAAACCACTTTACATAGGAACCATATTTGCCCAGTCTCACTCACAGACTCATACATTCATACACCGATATATAGATTGGTAGTTAACTCCTGGTTGCCTTGCTCAGAGGCACATCTGTGGTTTAGCATTTCATAGCTGCTAAGGGAGGTAGTCACAGGGAGAGATGGGGAGTAGGTGTGAAGTGGAGTGAATGGTTTTTGCTTATCATTCCATAATAGTAAACAAACCATTTTGCACTGCAAGCATTTTGCCTTTTTGACATTTATTTAAATGTTTTAAATGATGTAATGTTTCTGTTATGTAATTTGCAACTATATTAAAACAAAATAACATCGTTTTGAAAAATGGAAGTTGTTTAGCGTCATTTACTGTTTGGTTCCTTTTTTGTGTCAGGATCTATGTGCGGTCAGTATGAACTACCAGTCTGTTGTAGCAATGCACCAATCAGTTGGCCATTGATTAGTGCAGTTTCCTTTATTATGCTCTAGAGACTTAGTAGCAGCTCAAGTATTGAAACATCCCATTTTATTTTTGGAATATTAAAAGCATCCAAATGCCCACTTTCCTATCCATACACCAAACACTTTGACTTCAGTAAAAGTAACAGATTTCTTCATTTGATGTTTTGATATGCAAACAGGTACCAGTGCTAACAGAATCCGGACCACATACATACATTTATTTGTTGAATTAAAGCAGAGTTCACAAAAGTAAACCGAATAAACTTAAACAGGAACTTATTTAACTAGCTGACCTTCCCTCTGCTTATACAAGATGTGCTTAGGATTTACTCAAAAGTGGAAATGTAACTTCAGAAACGCATGAAAAACGGATCTGTGAACATCCAGAAAGAAGACATTTGCTTTTATGGCACCTTAATCACAAACCTATTAAGTAAGTGGTTAAAGTGATAGATGAAAAGATTTTTATGCTCCGTTGAGCTGATCAGTTAAAATTTAATGGCATATTCACACTCACACTCCGTCCTCATTCAGATTCGTGCTGAAAAGAAGTCGGAACGCAGACGACAGAAGTGAGGAGACGAGGTAGTGGGGGCAGAGGGCCTTGTATGTCTCATTTGGGCACTGTCGCTTGATTAATGTGGCTCTTCTTTTCAGAGTGGGTATTCACTGCGCATTTTGATGAGCCAATCAGATTTCCTCTGCTGGGTTATTTCTACAGCAAAATGAATGAATGCACTTTTTATTGGCTCTATTGTTTTAAAGATGGATTGCATACTGTGGCGTGAGGAAATTGAATACATTAAGGATCAAGTTTTAACAACTTTATGGAAGTTTTGCAAGATTTGCTTTTACCAAATATGTCAAACATTGATAAATTACATTAATATATTTGTGTTAAAGTTTTTATGCTATTGAATGAAATTTAATCTTGAGTAAATGGATGGGAAATTCATTATCCTGTACTAATTAAAAGCAAACAACTTGCTCTAGTGTTGGCTTGGTTTTAACTTACATCCATCGATCTTATAGTAGTTATTCAGCAGTAGGTTGTTGGAAGGGAAAAGCATATATACATAAAGACTCTATAACTCCTCAACACAACTCCAGATGTCCTCCAGCACATTCCAAGTGTTGGATCTGCACCAATGCCTCCACCCTGTGGGACGTTTCCAAAATACCTCCTTAAGAAAATGTTCAAAAGTCAGAGGACATGAACTCCAGACTGACCGTAAAAGACAGCTGCTGGTGTTTTACCAGGAGAGATCACAGATCTGGCATATTTTGAAGCTGCTTCTCCTTTTTCAGTTTGGCTTTCTGTCTTCCTATTGTGGAGAATTATCCGTTCTCCATGCTGAGTTCTTGATGTAGGAGGTTACAGAAGAGTCAGTGAGTTGAATTCATGAATTTAATTTATTAATACCAAAATACAGCTGGTCCATTATGACCTGCTACCTTTAAGAGCTAACTGTCAAAATGGCATCCCACAAGAGTTTCCCATTCCCTTTGTTACCCTCTCTCTGAGCTACGCCCCAAAGAGGGCGTTACTTAGCTCCTAGTATCCTATAATCTTAGCTTTGAGGGCTTTTCCTAACATGTCCTTTCCTCTAGCTTTAGCTTAGCAGCTAGCTAACAGAGATAGAAGGAAACAGAATTATTTATTTTCAGCACTATCTTGGTCAATCAATCAAATATTATTTGAGTGAATTGTTTGATTGACAGTGTCCTCATAAACTTGCATGTAAGTGTTTTTGGGTGACAGCTAAAGGGTTAAGATGAGACATAAACAGAAAATGGTTTTAATTACTTTAGCTTGATTGTCGTTTTAATGAGTAATATCTTTCAATTGATACAGTAAGAAGTCTATTGATTAACTTTGTTTTATTTTTAGTTTATCAGTAGGAAGCAGACATTAGCTGATTCACAATTTACCTGATTCTTGGTTAATCTTCAATTGATTTTTAGTTTATAATTTTAGTTCAACAATCTTGACTTAAAATGACTGCTTTGTTGTTTTTCTTCTTTTTAGAAGATGTTTGTCCTTAAAAAGCATCAAAATCTTTTGTTAATCCAACAGATATTTCAATGTGATGTCAATAATTCCTTTTTTAAGATTATGTGGATATAGCATAACTGCTACACTTTAATTTGCCTCTCGCTTGTAAACAAGATCAGCAGTAATTGAGCTCATCCCATCCCAAACCTCCCATCACCTCCAGGAGCTACTGTAACAGACTGCTGCATTGTGCAGTAGAAAACAATGGAAGAAAAAGGCCTTAAATCAGCTTTGTGCCACTTTCACAAACTCTAGTATTTAAATTGTGTGACAGACTTAGCCAATCAGCTGAAAGGTTTAATAATGTGTGCATTAATCAAATGCAGATGAGCCTCATCTTGCCGCTAGCCCTGAAAAGAAAATTTTTGCAGGTTCTATATTTCAGACTTATGTCTAAAATCTTTGGTACATCTTACTTTGTTAGACATTATATACAACAGTGTGTGTGTGGGAGAGAGAAAGTGTAGAAGTGTCCTCAGTTGATTAAATCTTACCATTCATTATTTTTTTCTTTCCATTAATCAAAGTTAATTGATATAAAATTAATAAAAGCTCCCTGCACACCTGCAGAAAATTCTGGTAAATGGCTCTTTGTTTCACAATGAGAGAAAATAGATGATGAGAGTGGGACCAGTTTCAATTCACCATGCTCTAAATCAAAGCTTGTGCAACGAGGCAGACAAAAGGAAGAGGAGCAACGCGATGACAAGAAGAGAGGAAGAAATGCGCCTGATAAAACGGCATCTCATGAAAATGTGAAACCTGTATGGAAGGTTTTAGCAAACAAGAAATAAGAGCAGAGTTTTACTGATTGTGTCTTTGTGGTCTGTCATAGATTATTTTATTGGTGTCTAAAATCCCTGCATACAGTCGGTCGTAACCTTACACTGGAACTTGTTGTCCAGCTTATATGGAATCAACACAATGACCGTCTGTCAGTGAGCTGTGACATATGTAGGCAGTGTGTAAGGAAGACCAACAGTGGAGAAGTCATGTTGACAAATCTTAGAAATCACTTGAAATAGTTATGAACTCCTTCCATCCATGGAAACCCAGACGTCTTTCTACCAGCAACACGTTCCAACTCAAAATGGTAAATCTAGACGTCGTCAAGCCAAAAGGGATTTGTTTTCTCAGCATGTCTTGGGTCTGCCCAAAGCTCCTCCCTCCCATTGAAAATGCCTTCTGCCATGCAGAAGGAATTGCTCTCTCTCACTTCTTGTTGTTTCTGTTGGGTGATCCCAGCTTGAACTCATCCACTTCAAAACCTTTCTTTGCAGCTTCATTGTTCCACTTGTCTCCTTCACATTTATTCTTATTCATGGGTTTTGTCTCATTTCTACTAACTTTTAATGATGTTTTATAGAACATCATAGTTTATCTGGATGCAGACCTGTCCAAATCTGTCAAACTGTGGATCACAAGTGCAAAGAACTATGTGGCATTGCAAGGAATTTTTTTTGTGTTGTTGTTGTTGTTGTTGTTTTAATGTAGCACCACTGAAGGTAGAGGGGCAACAAACAAAAATTTAAAAAATTTTTAAGCCCTTAGGAAAAATGATCTGAATGAAAAAAATCCATGTCCGTCAAATCTAAAAACCTTTTTGGAACACCTTTGAGAATGTTGTGGGATTCATGGAGGAAGGATGTTGAATTTACTCCTCTGAGTGTTTTGTTTATCCAGCATGTGCCTTGCACAGCTTCACATTTCAGCTGTTGGCTGACAGCGTTCTTTTTTTTTTATCCTTTTTTTTTTTTTCAAAACAACTCAAGGTCAAATATGTTGTGTGGTTTGAAAAGCTTTTATACTCACCAACCAAAGAGTCTTTGTTAGACAAACTGCAGAGTTTCTATGTTGCTTTGGACACACAATTCAAGTTATTTGACCTTTCTGACTTGTTTTGCTCTATTGATTTTGTTTTTCAAACTCATCTGACTAAAGTTGAAAAGCTGCTTCAGTGAACATCCTAACAGACTGATGAGTAGCATCAGAGTAACTCAGAGTGATTGAACTGAAAACAAACAACTATGCAAAACTGAAACTCATTAAGATTAAATTTGTCTCAGTTTTAAACCAAAAATGTCTAAAAGTAATTATTATTTATTTATTTGTGTATTTTCCATATAGCTTTGCCAGTATAGCGTTTATAACAATCTACCATTCTGTCTTCCCTGATCATTTTGAATGAAAAAGTGTAGGACTCTTGTATGGAATATGTAAAGGCCCTGGGCAGTTTGCTATAATCTGTGAATTTCTCTGTTCTGGACAAAAAGCTACAGCTCCATCTTTGCCATGTCTGTGAGTTCTGATACTTTGTGTTGAAAGAGGACCAGCGCTGGTGGTTTGAGGGTTTTTTCTCAGGTATCGTCCTTTCTATGTGCTTCAGAGACGTCCAGCTTGGAGGACAGCCTTGGGTGTTACAGTGATTGCTGGGAAACCCTCTGGATTCTCTATGAGGAGACTAAAGCCAGAGAGATGAGAATCAATCTGGAATATTTAGAAATGAAGCGCTTTTTCCCACACACACATTTTACCATATTTTGATGTTTTATGTGTTTTTTGGCTGTTGAGTTAGGAGATACTAACAAACACAAAAATAACCCGGCAAGATCCCTACCAGACCAAAAAATAATCCCTCTGACCTTTCTGGCATTTTCTCCTTTACATGGCCTGAAGACATGCAAACAGGCAGCATCCATTCTACTACAGCAGGCTTCATGAAATATCGAGAAGAGAGTAGGATCATCTGTACCATCCCTGAGGGAATTTTCTGCTGCAGTTTTTTTTTTTTTTTTCTTTTTTTGCTCAGTCGTGATAAGCTTCTGCAACACTTTCTTACTGTATTAAAAACTGAGAACGCTCCTCTGCTCCAGTTTCTTTCCAAAGTTAGGTGGAAATAAAACTTTTGGTGTTCAAGGACATATTCTAAATTTTCTGTTCCTCCACAGTTCACCTTGGTTATGAGCCTAAAATGACCTTACTGCATTGTAATGTTTCTCTAATGTTGTAGTCTTCAACTGAAATAAAGAAACAAAAATAATGCTTCACAACTCTTCAGACAATTTCAGAAATCATGTTATTATTTACTGTAAGACATGTGGTTATGTGAATGACTAATTTCCAGCATGATTTCTCTAAGTCATTTTGATCTGTGACAATAATATATCTTATTTGACAATAATTATCTGACATAGTCAGGAATCAGATCCACACTAACTGCAGATAGGGTGTAATGTGAAATTTTTAGCAGATGACAGACAATTCAAAGATGTTGTATATATGAGATTTGGCCATTTTTATGATAATCTTTATAAATCACAAAGTTAAATGATGTGGTGGAACATTAAGGGAAATGTGTAGAAATTAATGGCTTCAGATCTCCGCTGAGGCTAGGTTGGAAGTAAAATAAGGACAACATTCCTCCACAAAGATCTTAGAGACTGATAAAGTTAGAAAATGAATATTGAGCTTTATAGCTGCAACAGCTGGTTCGACTTCACTTTTAGCACATTCCTTCCACTGTAAACGTGACTTTTCTGACATAAACAGTGACAAAGTATGATTTGAAATACTGTTAATCTAATGTCATATTTTGTCTTTTTTAAGATGCCACCTGACACACACTCCTCAAGAGCATATATTTTAACAAGGAACATGAACAATGTGTAAAATGATCAAACTGTATTCCATTTAGTTTTTATTCATTTAATTTTCAAGCTGCATTAATAGAAATCTGACTTTTATCCAACTTTTTTGCCCAGGTTGCCAGGGTAACCACTGCACATTTGTATTAGCAGGTGACACCACATTGGGAGTGGGTGGTATAAAATAATAAAGGATGACCGACAGCTCTGCCTTGCACTTTATTGCATTGACTCTTAAATGTCACCGAAATAGAATTGCTCCCTTTTCCTTGTTCAAACATCTATTAAAATTAAATTAATCACAGATTTCATTTTAGGATCATTTTGAGAGCCGAAAAGGGGGAAGAAAATCAACACCAGCTGGGGATGTTTTCTTCCACTGTTATTTTCATTTGACATTTTCTTCTCTGCACTCAGAGACTTTTATAGTTTACTGGAAGGCTGTGTTTTCACTCAGCCGTGGTCTATTGTTTATGCACAATAATCATCAGTGTGGAAGGAGGGAGTGAGTTAGAATAGTTGAGTGGATGCTGTCAAAGCAATGAGGCACGTTTAAACTCAATAAAATTAAAATTATGAATGCACATATTTCCACTTTAAATAAAAATGTAAGTATATGCATGCTTTGTGTTATTCTGGTACATTATGTTTAAAAGAGTTTTGCTGTAAGACTTATGCAACCAGGGTTGCAGCTGAGCTACTGAATGTTTTAGTGTACGGGTAGACTGGAATAATTGAGCAGTAGTTTAAACATGTGTTACCCCACTGGTCTGTAGTCCTTGTACTTCAAATGAAAGTTGCTTCTTTCTTTTCTGCTAAAATCTTGTGAATGCTGTGGTAAAAAATAAATAAATATTAGCAAATTTTATTTTGGATTTCAAAGTGGTACCATTTGCAGTTTGCAAGGGCCTGGGTTCAAATCCTAACTGAAGTCCTAAAGACAAGGAGTAGCATGTTCTTCTCATGCGTGATCTGGTTATCTGACAAAATCCAAAAATACGCATGTTAGGTAAGTTCATCACTCCAAATAAAGTCTGTGTGCAAATCATCTGTGTGTTGCTGGAAAGAGACGTCAGGTCTATCAAAGGATGTCTTCCAAATAGGTGTTGTCCTTGCTGAAACAGCAACTAAAGCATTTTTTTTAAATTAAACCATGATCTTAAGACCTTCAACTATCTGAAAATGTTCCTCTCTGTCTATATTTCCAATGACAGCAGAGAAGAGAGAGATTAACCTAATCATATGTTTACAGATATTGTGTAGCTCTAGGGCAAACTCATGTTTGACCTTCATGAGTACAGCAGCGTTCCTTTGATAAGCCAACACATTTTGTCTATTTTTTTTTTTGGAAATCCCTCCTCATGACTGAGATGTCCTTGATGCCAAAATATCACGGATGAATAAATTGGATGCATTCGTTTAACAAATCATTAAATGTGGCTAATACAGATATTGTCTCTTTGATCACTAGATTCCAACACCAGTTCATTAAGATGAAACAGGTGCTGCACTGAGAGAATGGCTTCTACATGCCATTTATGAAAATAAAATGGTGTGTAAGAAAATGTCAGTAATTCAGAAAGATTTATAAGTTATGTTATGTCACACATTTTGTGGTGCCAATTAGCCCACAGAAAAAGACTATGACCAGAGATAACAAGTCTGATCTCTAACTCTTAAAGCATTTAATTACTCCTTATATTGTAAAAACATTGACATCCTCCTTCTGAAACTCAATTTAGAACATCACGAAACATAGCAATATTTTTAGTACTATTTGGACACTTTAGGTCCAAGTTAGAAATAAGCTAAAACATCCATGATTGGTTTCCACTGAGCAAAATCTCACTAAAGAGACAATGATTCCTTCTTAAAAACCAGAAATGTGGTCTACACGCAGTAAAAACACCAGCTGAGACCAATTTTGGTGTTTTTTCCTTGGGAAATTTAACTTTCATTTGTCATTGATTCTTTCTTTCCTGAAGTAATTATAATGATAATCTTCTTCATCTACTTTTCCTCTGTAGATTTCATAGAGGAAATTGTACCAACTTTTATTATAAACTCGTTGTCATAGTGATTTGTTGGTAGATTGTTTGAGGACACAAATGCAGAACAGTGGAAACATGGAGTGAATAATGAAAAAGGTTTAATGAAAGTGATGTACAAGAAACTTACAAAGAATCCAAGAACCAAGACAGAATACAAACAAAATCCAAAGGAGCCAAGATGGAATAAAAACCAGTGGGTCCTTTTTGGACCAGGTGAGGTAATCTTTTTGCAATATCTTTGTAATGAAACGTTTTCATCACTTTATATTCTAGGTATTCCTCAACAAATCGACCCAAGTGCACCAGGTGAGAGACATAGTTAATTTAAGAACATTTAATGAAAAAACAAATAAACAAACTTACAAAACTGAAAAAAATCCAGGGAAAAAAAAAAAAAAAAAGCAAAATAAAGACAAACTGGAGACACAGGAAGATCACAAGGAAACCAGGGAGAAACGAGAAAAATGACGAGACGAACCGGCAACTAGTGACGAACAATGAGGAGCTGAACCCTCTGATGCTCAAGTGGGTCCTTTTGGACCCGGTGAGGTCATCTTTTTGCAACATCTTTGTAATGAAAAGTTTTCATCACTTCATATTCCAGGTATCCCTCAAGAAACATGTTATTGATATCATGCAATTCAAATTTTTAATTTACCTTTAATACATTTTAAGAAATAGCATGTTTTATATCACTACCCCATTCTTACGTGAGTGGGTCCAAAATGACCCGCATTCATTTCTTATGGAATTTAATGGGAATCTTTGTTTCTTACCAACTGTGACTGTCAGGAAAACATTTTTTTGTGAACCAAACACACTGAGACCTAAGTGTCACCCCTGAATATTATTCAGACTATCCACTCACAGAAGACTGTATAGTCAGTCACTCACGCATCAGAGGGTTAAATGCTGGAGAGGTTGTGAGCTTGACAAAAGACCTGGGATGATCTATCGATCCATTTTCTTACACCATTGTCCCTAGTGGGGTCAGGAGAGGTGCTGGTGCCTATCTCTAGCAAGAGGCGGGGTACACGCTGGACAGGTCACCAGCAACACAGAGACAGACAGGACAAAACAACCATGCATGCCCACATCCATACCTAAGGATGAGTTTACAGAAATCAATTAACCTAACAGTCATGCTTTTGGACTTTGGGAGGAAGCCGGAGTACCCGGAGACAGGGGTGCATGTCTGAGTAGTCCATGAGGCATCTATTCTTTTATTATGTCTATGGCTCAACCTCTCATGGCTAGCTAAGCAAGGTTGGTGGAATCAATTAACTTTCTCACTCTTTGGTTACCTAGCAACTCATTCATTCTTTGGTTATCTAGCAAAAGCCTGTTTAGTCACTTGCACAGCAGCAGTTTCTGGTTTCACCTCCAGTCCTCATAATTGCTTAGAAATAAAAAAATAATAATAATTTATAAAAACATTGTGGTGTGAAAACTATGAATACAACAGTAAAGTTTTCCAAATATTTAAAACAGAAAAACTAATAAAAAAGGATTGATACAGACTGATATGAGACACTTATTTCATGATATTGTAATATTGTTCAGCCTTACCATAATTAGACTATTTTTGTGTTTAGAATCCATTTTAATTAGTTATTATTTAGGATTATTTTCTGTGATGTAATATTATACAATGAGCCAGAAGAAAGTTTTAAAAAGCCTGGAGAATACAGGAATTTAGTTTCAGAATTTAGTTTCAGGTTGGGTCAAGCATTTAGGATAAAAAAAAAGCATTAAATTTCTGTCGATTTGTCGAGTTGTGCTATTTTAAATAATTATGATAGCAATGCTATCGCTGACAGCGAACTAACCCATGCTATTTTATGAGCTTGAATCTCCTGGTAAATAATTTACTTAGCTTCTGTAAACTCAAATTCATGCTGGTGTTGTACATTAATGTTGAGTCACTGTAGGACGCTGGATTCATGTCCAATATAGGCCAACTATTTGGACCGATGTACAGAAACCCCATGTCTGTGTCTGTTCGTGGGCAGACACAAAGCATGTGGGGGGGATAGTAACAGCTCACTGTTAGCTTTTTTATTTTTATTTTTTTAGCATGAAAGTCCCACTGAATAAACATTATATTTTCTGTGGCACTGAGCTAGCTGCTAACAACATTAGCACTCTGAGGTCAACCAGACTTGGGCATAAAAATAATATATCTTACCTTATGAATGCTTGTCTTTCTAAGTAACTGTCCAATAAAATATCAGAAAATACAATTTAAGCGATGCGATCGTTACCTGTTAGAAACTAAACTCTGGCATTGTTAGTTTCCGCAACTCCTGTTATTAGCTGTAGATTGTTGATCCACTTTTCTCCTCTTTTTTCAGTAAGTTTTTTTTTTAAAGAACTCCCTTGTGTAACACAAAAATAATGCTAAACTTTCTCTCTATTAGAACAGTTGGAACAACCGTACAGGACACAGACTTTAGACATTTTCATCCTGGATCAACAGAAATAAATGGGCTGAATTTATTTCCGGCCCTCCATGAGCAATCATCACAAATGGTCTCAATTTGTTCTAAAAATGCTTAAAAAAGTGAAAAATGAAAATATTTCAAACATGAAATAATTATTGTGTGAAATCAAACACAGCAGAAAGTATACTAAACATTATTTTGAATCAAAATTACAAAAGTAGCATAAACACACAATGATTCAAACACGGGTACAAAAAACCCACTCATGGAAGACTGTATAGTCAATAAGTCATGCATCAGAAAGTTAAGATAAAGTTAACAAAAAGAAAACAGGAACAAGACAGATCTAACCAAACTAAGAAAGTAACCCAATGAAATTAAACTACAAAACAACCAAACAACCTGGGATTCTAACAGTCATTTAGTATAAATGCGGTTACCAACATCACAGGACCCCATGAGTATTGTCAAGTGTCACACAAAAGTGATGCCAGAGTGCAGAGAGGAAGGGTCCCGTTCCATTCCTGGTTTGGTTAATGTTGCGCTAATGAAGAGAACCAATTTCCACCAAGTTAAAATTCATTGGCAAGAAGCTTAAGTGCATCTGACGGATACATTTTCATAAGCCTGGTCAGGCTTAGGGGCAGCACTTGAGGCGTTTCTGTGCTTGTAATAACTGAATTAAAATTTTATTAGAAGCAGCTAATTTCAAGTGAAGGAAATTACTCTGACAAGTCAAATGGTTTGTGAGGCACTGAACAGAAGCGAAGCAGGCACATTAGAGAGGCTTTTCACTCTTTGGTCTGTTCCGTGTGACACATTCACATGTTTCTGGAGGGCAACCTTGTGTTTCTGTGTGATTTGAAAAATCAATCACTACTAAAAATTATAAGTGCAAAATAAGGACTGAATGCATTAACATGTTTCTCAATAAATATATTTCTAATGGGGCTATGAAACTGAAACCAGAAGTCAGTAAGAATCCTAGTAACCGACACATACAAAGGAATCAATGTTTATAACACTATTTGTTATAAAGTGGAACAACAAGGGGGGAAAGTAGTAAACACATGAAGAAAAGAAGCTGCACAAAATCATAGAAAGCCTAGAAATGAACTGAAATCAGTTCCAATTGATGGCCTGTAAAAAGCTTTTTCATTACCAAGAAGAACGGCATGATGGGTAAAAGCAAAGAGCTGTCTCAAGGCCTTGGGAAACTTATTGTTGCCAAATATACTGAGAGCATTGACTACACAAGTATTGTTAATCTTTTGAATGTTCCAGAGTATTGTTGGGACAATAATCCAGAAGAAAAGAAAAAGAAAAAAATCAAGGACCAAGAGCTTTAGAAAAACCTGAAATTAGTAAGTAAAATAGTACATTTTACTTGCAGAGCACTGTTCACAGAAAATAGTACTTTAAAAACATAGCATTAAATGAAAACATATTAAAATAACAAAATGTAAAGAAAAGGATAAGTAAGGCATATAGGCATATACACACTTCCATATACACTCACTGCAAAAGACTCCACTACTGAAAAAATGAAAAGTTATCTTAAAATTTGCTCCAGAACAATTAGGACAGCCAGTGAAATACTGTGAATATATAATATGTTTGATTAAAAAACTAAATTATTAAACGTGATTACACATTTTGTTTTGAAGACTGGCCCAGTAAATCATTTCCCAAAAATATGCCAACATTTAAGCCATCAGTGATCTAAAGACTAAACTGAGACGGCTTTGCAAGTAAGGGGATACAGCAGAAAATATAAAGAAAGAAGAAAAGTTTCTCCATTATATATATATATATATATATATATATATATATATATACCAAAAATTAGTTACCAACCACAGCAAGTTTTAGATAAATTTCAGCAAGCATATTCAATACACTGTTCTCTTTGTGATCTCACATTGGTTTACATAATTTATGGACATTTGTTTTAATCTTGTGCTTTACTGTAGTTGTTACTGATATCTTGTATAGATTTTATGTTAAAATTACACATGTTAACACATTTTCATTACAAACATATTTACTAACAAATATATATTCTGACTGTTCATGTCTCGTTGGCCGGAAAAGCAGCAGTTGGATGTGGTGGAGAATAATGAGGTTCATCATCCAGAGACAAATCCCATTGAATCTGCAAAAAAGACACAATAAGTGGCACGACCCTGAAGAAACCTTCCCCGAAATGCATTACTGTGAAAGAAAGTTGAGTTATAAAAGATAAAAATTTATATATATAAATATTTTTATATATTTTTTTTTTTTTTTTTTTTTTTTTTTTTACAGTAAACAGGGTCCAGGTAAAAAGAATGACTTTTGCTTTATGAATCTTCAGAGTTTAGAAATAAACCAACAGTTCTGAGTTTAAAATGTTTTTCCAATTTTTTGTTGGATTATCAGACAGCATCATGTCTTTTAACACAGGAGACAAGTTCAAACTCTTCAAGAACGAAAGGTGGCTATTTATTTAATAAAGCAAATTAAAATTGATAAAAATAACTTACTAATTTTATTTGTTTTGGCCTGGGAGGTATTTTTTGCCACTGCACTATATAGCTTAGTGATTCTACAGGGGATTTTTGTATCTACAGAGGGAGACATGGTTTAAAGCAAAATGAATTGATGTAATTTTGCTTTTAGTGCCCTGCCCAATTCTTCATGTAGTCAACCATAGAGCAAAAGAAAATAAAGAGAATCAATCTGTTCTGCAGTCTGCTGTGCATTTTGATGATCCGTAACTCTGAGACTGTTTGAAACTGAGTGTGCAAAGAACAAATAATCCAACTCTGGACTGTTCTTTGTTTTCTTGTTTAAGATTTAAAGTTGTAATAGGTAACTTTTACGAGTTACCTATTACTTGTAAAAGTAATAGACAACTATTACTTTTACAAATAATAGTATAAAATTATAAAAAAAAAAAAAAAATTACATATTTGTTAAAACTGTCATGGCAGTATAATAAGAGGCAGATAGTATATGAAAATAGTGAAGGTCTTCTGCCTCCTTCCTGTGGTCCTACTGCCATCTGCAGAAATATGCCTCTCCAGCTCAGAAACCACCAATCAGAGCCAAGAGTCAAATATGACTGCTGATGATGGCGGGTAAGGAAGACTAGGTTATTTCTCTGCCAATTATGTACCTGTAGTAAACCGTCAGTTTTGAGCTTGTAGGGGAAAAGTGTGAGCGTACATAAGCTTGATTGACAACATCTGCTCTCTGACTGGAAAACCAGTGTTCTGACTATCTGATGATCCTTCCCACCTTGCACAGAATAGTGGCTCATGAAAATCGAACAGGGCTGTTTTCCTAATAAATTAACACACCCAGGAAGTTTAGACCAATGACACAATAGATCCACATTGAAACGGGCATGAAAAATTCCCCACAGGCGTTGTGACAAGAAGGGACGGAACAAACTGTTGAGAACAAAATGATATGATTTTCGTTACGCAGCCGTGACAACAAAAACTGATTTTGTCATTTCGGCCTGTACTCCAAATTCACCATTGATATCTCTATCTTCCATCATGGTAGACATGGAGCTGAGCCTTTTCCCAGTCAGCAAAAGACGATAAGTATGATTGGATAAACTGTAGTAAACCTCCAAATATTTCTGCAAGTGTAGAAAACTGCATTTTAATCTAAGATCTGACAGCAACAGATGGAGTTTCCTTTCCATCAGGTCCTCTCCAGGTGGATGAGAAACTTTCTTCCTCCAAAGTGGGACCAAACCTTCTGGTCCACACCTAAAATAAGGACAACACCCTCGTCTGTCCCTGAATTTCAGACGGTTTTACTCCGGATTTTCCAAACCAGACAATCCAAGATCAACCTCAAGAAGTTACAATTTCTTCAGAAGGCACATACAAATTAAAATTTTACTCACAATCACCTCTTTTCCAGTGAAATGGAGAGTATTAGAAAACAGTATAAAATTTGATACTTTAGCAGAAAGGCAAGGCAGTTTTGAGTGTAAATGGATATGGAGAGAGCAAATTACAGCACTTGATCATAGGACCTGTTTAAGAGCAAGGGAATGTCATGAAGCGTGGATATATAACAGGGCGAAGTGGAAGGTTTTTTTTTTCAGTTTTCGTCATTCTTTCAGAGAAACCCCTCGAGCTTTCAGGTAAATGATTCAAATTTGAGAGTGAGAACACTGCATGCCATGAGATGAGACTTTAAACAAGATGGAATTAAATTAAAATGATACGCCATCTCTGGAGTACGGGAAGAAAAAGTGTTTTCTTTTGAACGATCTGGCTTTCAATTCCTTTTTTTTTATTTTAGAAACAGTCAAAAGCATTTGTCTCAGCTCCAACCTGCCTGCGTGAATATTTTAAAGTGGCTGTTTTTTTTTTTTTTTCTTCTGAGTAAAACTCAGCATAGTTTTACTCAAAACTATGCTGAGATAATTCAAAGCTTCGACTCAAAAGTTTGTGCTACATTTTCATTGCAGTTTACATTTTTGAAATTCATATGTGGCCCTGTTTTTTAACAGAAAAATATCATGATGCCATTTAAATTGGCATGTTTGTTGGATTTCTAAGACAGGATTAAGTGAGCAAAATGTTCTTTGAATTACAGAGTATCAATGTCCAACAATGAATCTGTGTTTCTGTTTGAGGTTATCAGTATTTTCAGACCATATTGATAAATAAATTGTTGTTTTTATCTCCAGCTTCACATCAGCATGTCATTGAACTTCTTTACTGGGGCTTTTGATTCTTGCACTTCTGTCATGTAAATACTATAGTCTTGCAAATAGCATATATATGTATATATTTATTTTATTTTATTTTATTTTTTTTAATTGAGGAACATTGTCAGCAATAAACATTGTTTATTTGTGGTGAAATGCTAATGTCAATGATTGAGTTTTTGGAACAAAATTGATCACAAGTTGTAAAATTTAATTGATCAAGATTTAGTTTTCAGTTGTGCCACATGTTACCATCTTTTCTGCATTCTTTACTACATAATAAGACAAAATAAGCAAATTTCAAATAGAGAGGAATAAATTTGTGTTTAAATCCAGGTTTCACACAAACATGGATCCTAAATACAGAACACGCTAATCGTTCTTTGCCAACATTTCTTCACACAGCCAAATTGATGATACACATCCTTTTAATGTTTTAATATTTTCTCTTTGTATGTTGTGCCATTCTGTAGATGAATTGAAAATAGGAAACAGCTTTGATTCTGCATTACTCATCAGATATTTGCTGTCTGGAACACTTCCTTCGGTGGTGGGAAATATTGATTGTTATGTTGCCAATCTGTTTTCTCATTAGAAATATACCACATACATACATTTGTGGGGAGCCCTTCTCCATGGGTGTTTCAACCAGCTTTACAGTTCCTGCTCTCTCATGGCTCGCCCACGTTCCGATGTTCCTGCCCATATTTACGCCCAGATAATGAGGAACACACTGTCTATGGAGACACACTCAAGTAAAGTTGGGTGTCTATTAATGGAGAGAAGG